GCTAAATATAAACCGTGAAAAACATCATATTACCTGTGGGGTTTAAAGGTGATGCACTTTGTTATATCTCAGAAAATAAATAAATAACAGTACATGGTTTGAATACTCTCAACTGTTTTTCCTCACACCTCTGAGATTTTATGTTACAAAACATAATTTAAAATACTAGAGGCCACAAAAGTAGACTGGAGTAATTATTTGCATTTAGTATTTTATTAATCAGATAATTTGGAGTTCTATGGGTTCTGTCTTGTAAAAAATAAGTTTGCACGAGACAGAACCCATACAACAAACAATAGGAGAAAAAGATTTGATCACAGAAATGATTGAAAGGGATCCTATTTGTTACTGAGGGGAAGTCTAAACAATTATTTACACAAAGATATATACACTAGTGCTACCTACTGGCCATCATTAAATTTAATTTGTACTTATTTATCACAGATTACAAAGTTTTTGTTCACATAATAAATTATTTTTTGTAATTCCATTTCATTCATTTTCTTATTGATATAACTAAAACTTCAGAATTATATTTCTTATGTTTAGAAAAATAGTCAAAATAAGTTGACAATCAAAGTGTTTTCTTGCTAGAAGCACCAAAATGGCACATGTAGCTTAAAAAAATATATATATATTTTAATTCAGCATATGTTGTAAAAATACAATAAAAATGTATTAATTCTGAAATTTAAAGCAATACATACTTCCATAGTATATTCTGATAGATCATTAAATGCCTTATCTTTAATTGCTTAATATTCAATTATAGCAACAGCCCAAAGCTATGAAAATTAATATAAACAAAAGTATCCAACATATATGCTGATTCTTGGGAATTATACTGCACAACATAGGGACAAAGAAGGGGATTTGAACACTTAAAAGTGAATCATAAGTACTATTTCTTAGACAAAGGTACAGATCCACAATCAAGATTTAAAAGATGGACAATAACAGTAAAATGAAAAATGGTGACATAAGAAACACTGGTGAAACAGAATGCTTGGAATTACACCTCATAAAATTCCTTTGTCAATCACCTACCTGAAAAGGTTTTTGAAGACATTCTGAAGGACATAAGATTTTTCACCCCCCTGCAACTAATTAGTTATGATTAAACAGCAAAATAAAATATATATTAGTAACAGCAGGTATGTCAGTACTTTAATCGTGAATCCAAAATTTGGCCATTGATCTGATATCTTAGATTAGCATGGTTACCATATTTAGTGATTATCTTAATTTTTACTCATAAGTGTCATGAAATAATTTTGCATCAAACTAATAAACAAATACTTTAGCTTTCTAAATTATTTAATTTTAATTCATCAAAAAATTTAAAATACTTAAATCAAGTAAAACCAAACTTATTTTACTTGTCTTAAAATCAGACAATTTGGAGTTTAGATAGCTGATAATTCATCATCACCAGGGTTTAGTGACTAAGTCCTAATACCTGGAGTTTTACTATAAACATGAAATGGAACTACTCAACACAATAAAGAAAGTCAAACTGCTTCCTAATGCTGTGAAATAACCTATCAGAAATAATGGAGCATTTCTCCCTTAAATAAATTATAAATTACCATCTAGAGTTAAGTACATATTTCAGAAAAATTATATACTACAGACCACTTTTTTTTTTCATATGTCTTCACTTGCCTCTGTACTTAATGACCTCTTCTTTGACATATTATTATATATTATTGATTTTTAAAAAGCATTCCTATACTGTATTGTGAAAGTTTTATCTAAAACACTAGCACACAGAAATACAAAGTATACCTTCTCCATCTTTATGGGTTTTAATACTTCTATTATTCATGCATCCACTTCAAGAAAACACTCGAAACACACGCTGCAAGGTTTTCCCCCTCTTTGCTGTGCTTCTTTGTGGTGTAACTGGGAAGTACATATAGCTAACAATCAAAAGGTTCAGGGTTCGAATCCTGGTGATAGCAACTGCTTTATTTTTCTTTATTTTTCCCATTTCCCGCTCCTTCCCAAACCTCGAATGACTCTACATTGGCAGTCAAAATAAAAGGTTGTGGATAATAATTCCTCATCATTAGGGTTTCGTCTCTTTCCTCCAGTTGCTCTTTAAATGGGGCAGAATGTAAAATCACCCCCTCCTTACCATGTGCCTTTGTGATGTAACTGCAAAGCACAGCCGGCTAGCAAATAAAAACCCAGGCCTGGCAAGAATACTGCTTATTTTTCATATTTCCTACTTTTTAGGGGGGATTAATGACACTGCAAATTTATGTTAATTAATTTAAATGTAATAATCTGTTATGGCAAATTTACAATGCAAATTTTCCATAACAAATATTACTGGAATGATAGTAAATGCCTGGTTCTCTCATCAATCACATCAAACAAAGTTCCAGATCACTCTACAAGCATTATATAAATTCAAAGTGAAATCAAAAACCCTCACTTGCCTTCAGTCATTTGCATGCTTGTACGCCAAGTTCAATCAATATCTTTGCAATAATGCAAGGAGGGAAGAACACAAGATTATTCGTCACATAATAGACAGAGCTTTTCAATGAATTTTTCTACACTCTAAAGAAGCTGATACAGAAGAAAGCTTCAGAAGCTAATCTTCAAGAAAGCTACTACTGAGTCATGTAGAAGCAGTAGGTACTGATCTTGACAGAAATGAGAAGTTAAGGTTTTCTTAGAAATAAGAAATCTGTCTTGAATATTGATTTCACAAGATAATTGAATCCACTTAAGAGGTGCATATTTTTAACCATTACACCATGTCTAAATCACTTTATCTAGTTATATAGCAGACTTCAAAGTTAACAAATGGCCTCACAATTGAAAATTATGTCTCAACCTGGAAATCTGAAATAAATGAAAGTTACTTGATGTCACAGGAATTATCTAAATTTGAAAAAGCTGAACATAATTACTGCTGACATGCTTCCTTCTTTTAATAATTGCATACATTTTTGCAAGTTGCAAAAAAATTTTTAACAGGAAGACGCACTCAGAAGATACATTATGAAAGCAAATTTAATCCATATTACTTGAAATTAAAGATAGAAAAATTGCATGCATGATTAATTAAGACTGTATGCAATAGTTACTATGCAACTTCAAGAACTGCTGTACCTGAAAGGATTTACAGAACATAACGTTGCAGCAAAGCACACGAAGACTATCTCCCTAAGAGGAGGACTTCCTTTGAGTAGAAATTTTATGGGGAACAAGCACTTTTTATGTTAAATAGGGGGGAAACTACAAAAATGCCTGTGCAGGCAGCCCATCTGCCAGGACTTGGAGCAAAATAGCAGAGTTCCATGATTTTTGTTTTATACAGAAACGAGTAGGGCTCACATATGTCATTCAAACATATTTCAGCTAGTTTATCTTCATAATAAAGCTCCCAAAGCTTAATTTTTTTGATTGGTTTGATCAAAGATTTCCATCAATTCTTTTTATCATAATATAATACAATAAAACGTGTCCTTTAACAAATCAGTAATTGGTTAAATGAAACTTAGATTTCAAAGAAGTGAATGAAAAATACTTTGTCCATGCACTAAATTGCATGTTATCAGTGTGGAAAGTGAAGAACAGCAGTAAGTTCAAAACATAAATATTGCAATGAAATAGAAACTAACAATTACAATGATAATCTCAATCATACTTTCGTCTTTCTGTATTTTAATTTACACGCTTGTTACATATAAATGAATTAAAATGAACACCGATAATTAAAAAACAAATTTAACAAGATATAATCTTTCAAATTTTGCATCATAAATCGTCATTTACTTGAATTCAGACTTACAAATGCTCAGTTAATATCAGAATTCTGATATGCTTGTGAATTCTCTGTAGTATGAACTTACTATAAATATTTCTATACCCTAATACCTTCCTTAATAATTTATCATAGCCTAGATATAATACAATTTAAACTTCAAATGTAATGTTAACTTTCAACTCCGATGATAAAAGCACTAGAAACTAAGCATTATGTCTTATTTAATGAATGATTTTACTTACCTGGGGAATGTCATGAGTATTTCATTACTTTCATTTTTCTCAATAAAAATAATTCATATATTTTATCTTATAATGAAATCATTCCTTACTTTTTTCAATTACATATTTGAAAAATATTTACAAAATAAATTTTATGGCACTTTTTTGTTAATGGGGCGGCAGTCAACAAATGTGGTAGCCTGTTTACATTAAGTCAGCAATAGTTGTGCAATGCAAATACAGGGAAAGTATGAACATGAATCCAGTTAAAATTTTCTGCCCCAGGTTTTATGCTTGTTTTGTGTTGAAGGGTTGATAGTTATTCTTCTTAAATCTGTACAACTGTCTGATGTTTATTAAGTGAATACAGATTACTTTGTACATGGGTAGAACAACAATTTCACTCTCCCAATGTCCACGGTGATTTGTTTTTGCTTTAAAAAAAATCTGAGAACTGGAAAAATTTAATCGTATACAGCCTTCATATTGTGCATTATATATAATAGTTATTCTTTTCATAAAGCTTATGCATCATTAAGGTTATCATGATCTAGTTAGATTATGCAACAATGTTTATGTTTGGCACTAGATAACACACCATTAACAGAAAAGAATCAATTTTGTTTGCGGAAATGACCATAATAGTTATAAATTTTTCACTGTATCAATTGAAGGTAAATTACATAAGTATGAAGAATATAATTGATAAATTAATTATCTAATTGAACTTTTATCACACTTCAATTAGCATTATGCTTTTATAAAATTATTATGCACAGTAAATGTTTTCATGAACAATAAATCTGCCTCTTTTACTGCAGCTTTAAATAAAAATGGTAATAAAATAAAATATTAAACAAAAGATTGCTTTAATTATTTATATTATGTTTCATAAATTCATGAGTGTTCATAAAACTTATAAGTATCTATGAACTATGCATAAATGCAAGGATACTAAAAAGCTTAGGTAAAAGTAATAGCAGTGACAATACCCTTTGAGCAGCAATAACTGCAGGGGAACGAGTGGATGTACAACAAAAGCTAATGAAGAGGACAACAGGAAGGCCTATAACTACAAGATATACTGCCCAAAGCCAAGGGTTCTTATTGGTATATTTGAAGAGTCTGGTAATCATATTGTCCTACAGGGAAAGAAAATTCAATATACTCAGATTAAAAAGCACAATAATTTTATATACTGGAAAGAATCTCATCATACATGCCTTGCATTTCAATAATATGCATATAATGCACTATGTATACATCAGTATATATCTCCCACACATAAAAACTTTGAATGATTAAAAAAAATACAAAATCTCAAAACTATCTATGATGTAAGTCATATATATATAAAACATCAATCAACCTAATGATACCATAATATAATCTTATGATAACAACATTGATGCATTATGTGAAATGTAAATCATTTTGATGACCAAAACTAAGAGTTAAATAAAATGACATCAGTTGAAGGAGGCATGGGAGGAGTCCAAAATTACATCTCTAATTATAAGAATGCACCAAAGAATGCCTATAATTACTTTTTAATAATTAGAGACCAGTTTCAGCTATAAATCTAAAACCTAACATAGCATGTATAATAAGACTCTAAACATTTTGTTTACTTTCAAGTCTTGAAAACACATTCATAATTTAGGTATGAAAGTAAACAAACATCAACACATATGAAATTGCACCAACAGATACCTCTTTCACTCGAGATCGCAGATGGATGAAGTATATCACAATAGGAATAGCACAATAAATTAGATACACAAGCCAAATATAAGGATGATTATTCGTCTTCCGTAACATCCATTTCCACCACGACTGCATAAAACAGTTGTAAAAAGTAAGATACAATACAAATGCATAATAAGAAAATATTACAGTTGTTAAACATACACAATAATTTTTTCTTAAGGAATTTAAAAACTAACACTTAATTGACCAAAAAAAAAAAATAATTACAAGATACATAAAATACACTAATACAATATATTTTTTCTATCTAGCCACCTTATTGCAAAATATCAGATCATATAGCATTTCAAAGACAACTAATCATCTAATAAATGCAGTTAAGCATTCACTGACACCCATAAAATTTCACAAAGGCTATTTCCTCACAATGCATCAGAAAAATCAAAATTCTTTTATTTGATAAAAATTACCACATTCATTTAATTTTAATCTTTTACTAATACACTCAAGTAATAAAACAGTTCCAAATTTTATTGAAATAAAAATTACATGTTTTACTCATATATAAATATAGTAAACATGTAAAACCATGTTTCACTATATTTATCCTATTTCATTAAATTTGTAGAATGGGCAAGATTTAAGAGGTCTTAAAAGTAAAAATGAAAATTTAGATAGGTAAGATAGGTCCAAATGTATAGGATGCAAATTTTGTTAAAACTTTGATGGAAATGAAAAATAATAGTAATAAATGGGAAAATAATATGTGTGTGTGTAACATAAAAAAAATGTGAAATTAATTTACAACAGTCTTTTAATTCTCTATTTTAATTTGGATGTTTTCCCTTTCTGTTCTAAAAAAGTAACTCCTTATACTATATCTCTCTAAATTGAGTCATTTCCAAATTAGTCCATGTTATATGATTCTTACAGTCATGCATATGGTTTTGCAAGCTGAAACTGGAAAATGAGTATCAAAACATTTAACATTCAGTTAGGAAATTTCAGAAACACAACTCAAATTCTTTTGAATTAAGCTTTCAGGAATATATCACATTTGTTTTTCCACTTCACTACAACTAACTTGCTACTGCCTGCTTTCTCCAAAAATATAAAAAGTTGTAGAACATGCACTTACTGCACCAATTATCTGTGTTAGGTAATGAAAATGTATGTCAACAGAAATAAAAAGGAATGTTTAAATCAGCCATTATGACTGCAAATTGCTTCTTCATGCATCTATATGCATACCTACGACTTGCACATTTTTCACATTATTACATAAAATTGGATTTAATGGTAATGTGAAATGCATATAATGCTTATAATCTTAAATTAATTGAGTTTTAAACACTTATAAGGTATTTCTCCCACCTTCTAAGCAAGCCTTTGCGGTGAATGGTTGGCATACCCAGCACGTATTCAAGATGTCCAAGGTTCGAGTCCCGACAAGGGCACTGCACATTTCTTCAACTTCCTGATGATGATTCTCCACCACTTGGATTTGGCGATTGGGTCTCCTAATCCCCAGTCGCCCTTTAAAAGAGGGAGTATATAAGGTATTTCTCCCACCTTCTTAGCATGCCTTCGTGGTGTAATGGTTGGAAAACTTGGCTCGTATTCGAGAGGCCCGAGGTTCCCAGCGAAGGCATTGTACATTTCTTCAACTTCTTGATTCAAAAAAACCTAATGTCTCTATGTCAGTATTAAATTTTATTTCAAAAAATTACATCATGTGTATTATGAAGAAACAAATTATATTCATAAAGTAAATTCATAATCCTTCATAAGAAAAAAGTTTATTTCAAAGTTTCTTAAACACTGTAATTGTCAACAGTCTTTTTCTTTGCCCTCTCTGACAAATGCATAAATGAAAGTGCATATTCCCCTTTTATTTACATAATAAAGACGATAATGTATCACATACCTAAGTAAGCAGACTCTACGTTTTATGAAGTTAAATAAACCACAAGGAAATTTTGCAAAATCAACAAACTGCAAATAACATTTAAGAAACTCATTTTTCAGAATCAAAACAAGTTCTAAAAATTGTAAATTTGGAGGCATATAACAGCATAAATTCAATTGACATTTTGCCCATAAATAATTATGATCTCTAACACCTGAACGTCTGGGATGGTAAACTAAGACAAGTTGTAGTCTTTCTAGATTTATTTAAAAACTTAACACAGACTTTCTTTAATTAAAGAAAAATGTAACATAACAGCATTATCCTGGAAGGGGAAAAACAAGAGCTTTTCCAGCACTAAAATGCATTTTACTCTCTCAGCATTTTGCAGACAAAAACCTAGTTTTCTTACTCTTACAAGATAAGACACAGATACATTGCCAAAGGGGGCATCCTTAACAAGTCTTTCTTGATTACATCCACCAGTCCCATGATAGATACTGGGGTTCATTCCCAAAAGAACAAGAAATCCTCTAATGACACACACGTCTTGTTTCAAATCAAAAGCTTCACAGTTTTCAAAATGTAACTCCAATTACTGGTTGCAAATATGAATTATTCAAACTGAAAATCATAACACATGAACTAGTTTTTAAAAGGGATTCTGATTTATAAATTTCAGATAAAACAATAATTATAAAACAAATTTCTGAAAAACTGCCATCACATCTTTTGAACTTTTGTTCAAAAGTATTTTGATTCAAAATTAAGAAACATTTTATTTTAATTTGATGTTAATTATAGTTGTTTGGGTAAACTCCGTTTAAGTTTTTATGTTTTGAAAATAAGCTCTATTGTTTTTTGTAAATATACTGTTAAATTCTGTAAATATTTGCAACTAAAGTGTTTTTTCAGATTAAATCCATAGTTATCTTCAAATCTTTAAAATCCTGGCTTCTGTGCAACAGAACTATAGATAATTTAAAACAGGAAAGAACACAACTACAGCGATATTTTACAACTTCTTTGAAAGAAGTGGAAACTGTTCTAAAAGATGAAGCAGTAAGATTGATTTGATACCTATATCTAATATTTTTAATGACAAATCTGATAGATTATTTCAATTGGTAAAGTAACGTGGCTAGAAATGAAAAACTTTAATAATGATGAATTTTCTAAGGATATGGATTTAACGGAAAGCTATCAAAATCAGTGGGTTGCTATGAAAACGAAAGTTCATTTAATGTTATCAACCACCAAGAAAAGGGTGATATTTCCAGAGTATTCTTTAATGATGAATTTTCTAAGGATATGGATTTAACGGAAAGCTATCAAAATCAGTGGGTTGCTATGAAAACGAAAGTTCATTTAATGTTATCAACCACCAAGAAAAGGGTGATATTTCCAGAGTAGTAAATAAAAGTAAGCAAAATTTCCATCTTCCTAAGTTAGAAATGAAATGTTTTGACATAATATTAAAAACTATTTGATGCAATATTAAAAACTAGCTAGTATTTTGGGGGACAATTTAAAAAAATTCATGATGATGATAACACTGATGCAGATGATAAACTTCAGTATCTTTTACAAGCAACTGAAGAAGGTTCATTGGCCAAAGATTTAGTTGCAAGGTTTCCGCCATTGGCGAAAACTATTATAACGCTGTTGAACAACTGAAATCTTGTTTTGCTAAAGATGAACTCTTAATTCAAATTTATGTTTGTGAACTTTTAAATCTAATTTTAATGCAAGCGAAAAGTGGTGAAAATATTACTTTGCAGGTTCTGTATGATAAACTGGAAACTCAGCTGTGAGCATCAGAGACTTTAAGGGTAACGTCTGAAAAATATGAAGCAATGTTATATCCTTTAGTAGAATCAGCTCTGCCAGAAGTTCTTATCAAGGAGTAGAAACACACACATTAACCGTGCAGAAAATAAAGACAAGATGAACATGTTAGGAAACTTATTAGGATTTCTTCATTTGGAAGTCAAATGTGAAGAGCGGTTACAACTTGCTTGATCAGGGTTTGCATATGATCAAGAATTTGAAAAATTTAAAGTGAAACAAAAAATTCCCACTGCAGCTTGCATTGTATCTAATGAAAAGCAAAAAGCTGAGAAAAATGGCAAGCATTGTTTATTTTGTATTAAGTCACTTCAGAATACCTCAGAATGCTTTAAGGCTGCCAAGATGTCATTAAAAATATTAGATGTAGGAAACATTGAAGAAAAAGGGGAGGCTTGTTTCGTCTGTTTGAAACTAGGCCACAATCCTAAGACCTACAAAGCTTATTTAAAGTGTATTATATGCAAGAAAAAACACCACAGCATTATGTGTCCAAATATAAATCAATCAAAACAAGGCAAACAGTCTGAATTGGATGCACAGGTTTTTTTGTCACCAAAAAATTTGCCAACATTATTGTTAACTGTATTGGTGGAAATCATCAATGATGACAGGTCCAGAATTGTACGTGGATTATTTGATACTGGTGCTCGAAGATAATAAAAGATATCACAGAGAAACTAAGATGGTAACTTGTAGATCAAGAAATATATCAATATGTCATGGACTTTTTAGGGGCAGTGAAACTAAACAAGAGTCTCACAATGTCTACAATATTTCATTACAAAGCTTGTGTTCAAATTTCAAGTGCACTATTTCAGTTTTGGATGAAAAGAAGATATGTGGTGCAATTCCATGTGTAGAGGATCATGACACTTATCGAATTTTGAAAAATAAAAATATACGTTTAAGTGATACAGGAGAATACGTGCCTGAAATAGGTTTATTGATAGATGCTTAATGGTAAACAAAGAAACTACTCAAAATCTTTGGAGAGTATTGTATATGCTACTAATTTAGATTTGATGGAATTATGGAGCTAAGGTGTCATCAGTATGCATAAGATGTCCTGCAGAAGTAAAGTCAAGGCAGTTAACCGATGAAGAAACACTAGAATTTTCCATAAAACTATTAAAAGAAACGAAGAGAAAAGATGTGAAATATGTTTGCCATGGAAAAGTGGAGGTCAAGAATTAGAAACAAATAAAGAATTAGCCACTAAATGGTTAACGTACACTACCAAAATTCTCATTAGATCTGGATATTTAAAAGAATACGATGATGTGTTTAATGAGTGGATTCGGGATGGAATTATTGAAATTGTAGATAAAAATTAGAAAAAAAGACACTACTTATCACATCATACTGCAATAAAAACTTGTATAACAACAACAAAAATTCACCCCATTATTGATGCTTCAACAAACGATTCCAAAGGAAATTCCTTGAATAATTGTTTAGTGTTAGAATTTATATTCCTACATCTGTGACTGCGCTGAGCAGAAAAGGTGAACGATATAATTGCGCAGAAGAATCCTCCTGCTGCAGAGAGAGAGTTCCTGGTTCTGATGGTGCTGAAGACTGTCCTTCCTCTTATACCTATCCGATGTAGACTAGAAGAGAAACACGCAAATGTGACAATCAAAATTGTAAAAACAACCTTGTATTTAGCGTAAGTATAATGAAACACTCAATCGATTATGAGGGCAGCTAAAGGTCCCTCCTCATCAGGAGAAAGAAATACCTAGAAAGAAGAAAATAAAGGAGAAGGAGTCTCAGATTTAGCGAAAAATTATGATGATGTGATACCTGTGTCTTTATACAATGCTAAAGTGAATGTGTAGTTAACATCACACATTCAGTCTCACAGTGATCACTCATTCTCAGTCTGTACTTCTTCAAAGAGCTTACAGAGTCATTAGGTTACTCTGATGCAGATGTGAAAAATGTGCAGCTCCTCCTCTTTGCTAGGTGTGTTTGGCAAGTGCTATGACAGCACTTCGGACATAAAGTCATCCCCCACTAACTTTGCAGTTTCGCGTCTGCCATGATCCCCAGACCTTACTCCGATGGATTTCTGGTTCTGGGGTTATCTGGAATCTAAGGTGCACACATCAAATCTATGAGATTTATCAGAATTGAAAGATGCCAAAAGACATGAAGTTATACAGATTCCTCCACACAGGTGGGCACATTGAAAACTTGTAATTCCAATAAAAGTTTTCTTTCTCTTTCCATTCTTAAATGGTCACTGGTCCTTTGGAATGATTTCTTAAATGTTTTAACACAAGCAGCAAATTTTGTTACACATGCATCATTCCAACACCATTTACTTTTTTTTTTTTTTTTTTTTTGTGCTGATCCATTTTTGCATAGGAAAAGTAGGTGTTGCCATTTGAAAATTTTAAAGCATTTTTATTGTCACCATAACAGTGAGAGCTCTAATGTTTTAAATCATACAGTCTCGAGCATATACCTTCAAATAACAATATCCAAAATTTCATTTTGATTTGTTGAAATGACCACTCTGTATATACCTTTACATGATTGTGTTCCTAGACTGCAAAAGTACCCCAGACAATGTAAATGCACTATATCATATTCCTAAAATCACTTAATATGTTTTTTAAGAACAAGCAAGATTTAAAGCTACATTTTAGTTACACAGCATCACAGACTTTAACAAACAGAACACCTTTGTGGTACAATGAGTTAAAATTTTAAACAGATGAATTTTGACAGAAAAATTAATAGGATTATAGAGTATGCTGCATGCCACATAGTCAGATACTGTTGTGATCTTCTATTATTCTTAAAATGTATGCTTCAAAAGTATGCATATCAGGGATACTAGTAATAGTATGGCTAAGACTGTATATTATTTATTTCCAGTAAACTACATGTAGCTACTTGTAATTGAAAAGCAAATACTTTCTAGAAAGAAAATGACATATCTGCAAGGAATAAGTTATAATTCAAAAAGCCACAACTGGATAATATGTTAAAAATGACCTATGCTAAATAAACAGGCCACTTTGAAAATTTAGAGAATGTATGCTGTAAAAAACAACTGTTAGACATTGTATATTATGGTGGGTAAATAAAAGTGAGCTAAATCAAGAAGAATGCATTTAATGTCTACAATTAGCACATGGAAACGAAACTTCATCTATTTTCACTGTATTGAGATGATTTACAGAATTTTGTAGAAGTCAAAATTCTTTTCTGGTTGAAGAACATACAAGATGTCCTTTGCCAGCTGTAATCCCAGAGAAAATGTATCAACCATATGAAAAACTTGAATCAATGATAATTGCTTCACTGTACCTATCAAACCATACAGAAGGAAATTAACATTAATCTCGCAGCTATACTTAAAATTATCGATGATGAACTGCGTATGAAAAGATTAGTCTGTCATTGGGTCACCCATAAATCAACAAAATGCAAAAAATTGGCATGTGTCAGAATCGGTAAAGAAGCCCTAAAATTACTTAATGATGGTGCACACCACATTATTTCTAAAATCCTAATTGGTGATGAAACGTACATACTGCTTTATGGTGTCCCAATACATCAAGAAAATAAAACCTAACCAATAATAATGAAAAGATAACGAGCAATTAAAAAAGGAATTTACACCACTTTCTTCAGAAATACAGGATTAGTCACAGCCATCAAGTAGACAGGAGATAGTCACAGCTAACTGGGACACCACCAAGTGTCTTCTAAAAATTCTTCAAGAAGCGAATATTAGGAGACTCATGCTTCACCATGATAATGCATTTTCTGATAGACAAATTTCTTGAATAAAAACATATTAAAGTGATAGAGAATGTATTCTATTCTTCCGATTTTGCTATTTGTGACGTTTGCCTATTTCTAAAACAAACTTCACGTGGCTGTTATTTTCCCACTGAAAATAAGACTGATGAAACTACGAAAGCATATTTTTTTAATGAATTCCAAGAAATGAATAGTTTGAAACAGTTAATCTTTAAGAAATTTGCCCACAAAAGTACATTGGTGTTGGAGGAAACTATTTTGAACACATCTAAAATTTAGTAATTTTAACTTGCACCATTTAGCTATATCTCAATTTCAGAATGACCCTCATATCAGCAGTTTTTCTCAGTTTGTAGTAAAAATGCAGTATCAAATCATTTGAAGTTTGCATTGATACTTTTAAATATTCTGCATTTTCATTAATTTGTATTATAGATATGCTTATTCATTCATAATGTTACATATTTGGTAATATAGATATCACTTTACAAACAGAAAAAAAAAATGCAATAAAATTATTATCAAAAGAATACAAATAACTAGCTTTCCATTATATTACTGTAAAATCATACGCCATCCTCTCCATATATTTCTCACATATGCTTAAAGAAATAATCTCAATATTAAACAAACATTCACTGCAGATCAATGATGGAATGAAATTTTTGTCATATGCCATCCTCTGCATATATTTCTCACATATGCTTAAAGAAATAATCTCAATATTAAAAAAACTTTCACTGCAGATGAATGATGGAATGAAATTTTTAATACAGAAAAATGTTTAACTTACAGTTTCTCTATCAGCAAGCTCTCGCTTTAAGTCAAAAGTCTCAGATGCCCAGTGTTGTGCAACATATAAATCGTCAGTGATAATTAAATTGTCAAACATAATTCCATCAACCATTGACCATAACTCAAATCCTACAGCAGCCTAAGAATAAAAACAATTTCTTCATTCTACATGTTCTATAAATTATTTTAAAAGCATAACAGGAAAGATTTTATATTACATAATTATACTCTATAATATAATTAAAAGTATCATTATAAAAAACAAAAAGAACTCACTACAGGTGTCATTTTGTATGGATATTTATCTTCAAAGTAATGAGGATTAGGAATTCTTCTTGGCCTCCATTTTCCCTACATTAATTAATTTTCAGACCGATAAACAAACTTTCATATTAGCATTAAAAATAATTCAACTTAAAAATTAGACAATTTCATTTTATTATAAAATTAATAAAAATTACTTAAACTGTAGGTTTACACTTTTTTTAATAGAAATTACTTTACTACTGTAGCACAGTAATTTGTGCAGACAGAAACAAAAGAGATTTTAACTTATGAAAGATTTAGCATTTTTTTCCATTATTTTCCTTTCTTCATTTTGGATTGAATGTTTTATTTCCAACAACATACATGAATCAATAATAAAACATATTCCAATACTGAAGAAATCATAAGCACTTGTAAAAACAGATAAGAAAAGTAATTAACATTTTACACTCACTGAACATAATGTAAGTTAACAAATAAGAACTTTTAAAGATAAAGAAAAATAATAAGCTTTATATATATTAAATTCATACTTACATTTAATTTTTTACAATCATATTTAAATAACCTATCATTAAATTTGTACATAATTTAATCCAATCTTAATAGAAAAAGAAAAAAAAACAGAAATTTATAACTGCAATATAAAAGGAAAGCAATGCTTAACTCAAAAATGGGTACTTATCTTCTATCTGGGTGAAAGAGAACAGCAACGGTTCAATTTGGGCTTAAGAAAGTGTGATGTTATAAACACCGATGAAAGTGAAATGTTATAAACACCCACAAAAATGAAATCAACTACAATAAATGCAAATTCAGCAATTCGTTCAAAATATGTGCAAGTTATTTAATACAGTACAAAGTCCGTAATCCGGACGTCCATTATCCGGACTGATCTATAATCCGGACCTCAAAGCCACAAACATTTTTTGTATGCTTTACGCATGCGCGTTAATGTGCGTTTACGCATGTGCATTGGGAGGGATTTGTCTCCAACGCACATTAATGTTAAAAAAAATGCTTGGCATAATTTACGGCCAGCTACCATATTTCATGGTGAGGACGATGCAGATGATAGCCGCGAATTTGAAGGTTTTCGGACATCGCGAACTAAAGGTGAAATTTTCCAGTTATTGGATTTTGTAAAGAGAAGCGGTAATAAATGAAGATGATATAACAGAATTTTTTCATTGCGAGAACAATGCCCCAATCATCAAACAATTAACGGATGGCGAAATATGTAGTATGGTTTTAGATCCAGAAAATAACGCTTCCGATAGTGAAGAATGGGACAGAGAGGTTATTGAAAACGAAAAAATTTTGATTAATAAGTTAGTCGGTATTCTCGACACAGCAATTACAGGACTTGAACAGTGGAACTTTGTAACTGAATAAGAAATTATGTCTGTTTATAAAATTAAAGAGAAAGTATTAGCACAAAAAAAAAAAACAAAGCAACTTAAACAACTTACATTGAAAGAAATGTTTAATAAAGTAAACAAATAAATATTAAGCTTTTTTTTTGTAAATTTTAATACCCTTAAGATCATAATTGCTCTTTCTTTCATAAATTACCATTTCATATTTTTAATTGTATAATTTCTGCATGCCATCTTACCAGATTTAAATTGATGATCTATAATCCGGAAAAACCCCTAATCCAAAATCGCCGAAGTCCCGACGAGTCTAGATTACGGACTTTGTACTGTATATACATACAAGATAGGACTTGATAAATTTTTATTTATTATAATATCTAATACAATTCTGCCAGCAATTTATTTTAAATAACATAACTTAATATATACATTAATTATTGTATTTAATATAATTATATAAGGAATTTATTTAAAATAACAATATATGTAAATGACTCACTATGTAGACGACACTTTCATGCTTTTTTGATGGTAATAAAGAAGATTTATATCAGATTTTATTTATTATAAATTCAATTGATTCAGCCATCCAGTTTCCTTTTGAAACTGGATTAGGATTATTCAATTATGGTAAAAAGCACATGAGAGCTATCTACCTAAAGGGAGGGATGCCTTCATGAAGGACTTTCTAAGGGAAATTGGCTCATATACACATTACACATGGGGAAAACCACGAAAACATCCATGCAGCTAGCCCGTTCGCGGGATTCGAGCCTCGGACCGAACATCCAGCATTCAGCGTCTTTACCACTCGGCCGCTGGTGGGCCCTCTTGAAACTGAATTTCACAATATTTTTCCCTTCTTGATATTCTTATAATTAGCAATGAATCTGATTTCAGCATTACTATTACCATAATCCTTTTTCTGTTTGTTTGCTTCCCCTTCTTAAGTCATATCACCCCAGCTAGGCAAAAGATGGCTTCATTTTACTAGCATGTACTTTGTGCTCTCAAAGTCTATTTTCCCTCAGAACCTCTGCTTGCTAATGAACTCAATTACTTGGGATCGCCTGCCATTAGCCAAGGGAGGATCTTCTCTCATGGTCATTAATAAAGCCTTTAAAAAATTTCATCTTGCCATCTAAAAAGACAATTCGCTCTCAGAAATAACATTGCCTTGTTGTAATTCCATTTTTCTTCTTTCTGTCAGTTACAAAATCGTACTGATTTCCCAGAAGTTTAATTTTCAATCGTTTTTCTTGCCTATCAATAAAATAAATCTATGGTTCAATCCTTAAAAGATTCTATTTCTGACTTTAATTCTTGGGGAATTTAGAGCATATTTTGTTAATGTGGTTTAAGATATATCATCCAAACTAAAACAGTGTTAAGGTTTCGCATCAAGGAATATGAATCTTATGCCTAAAAGGTGAAATTAACAAGTCTTCAATAGCTAATCATATTAGCAAGACTTAATTTTTGGGTCTGCAAAAATTATCTAAAAAGCTTCTTCCATTGGTGAACTGGATTTTTTTGAAGGTATTTTCACATTCACAAATATTTATCTTGTTTAGTAAATGTTTAGTAAATGAATTCTAATTCAGTGCTTTCTAATACTTTTAAAATTTTATTAACTAAATTTTCAGTTTTGGTTACTATTTCTTTCGACAGATGGCACTACCTGTATCACTTTACTCCTCTTCTGTTTACTAATCCCTCTGATCTAAATCAGATCCGATCCAGAAGTTTATTTGCTCTCATTACATCTAACAACAAATTAGGTCTATTCAACAGATCTTCAAGCACCAAGGCAACAAAACTAAGTAGATGTTAGGCAGTGGCTTCATGGTTTTTACACTTAATACAAGTTGGGAAAGTTTCAGAAACACAGGAAAATCTAAGGAATCTTAAATATCCTGAAGTCAACTAAGCACTTCCTGACATTGACGCAGGACGAAATGGGCAAAGTGCACCAGGACCACTTTCCATTGAGGCCTTTCCATTATGCTCAGGTAATGCTTGGCAGGCACTGCAGCACAGTCTTCTACCTTTGGTTGCTCGGGATGCATGATACTAACAGAAGCTGCTCATTCTCTCCACTTGACCATGATTAGTTATATTATCTCATGATACTAACAGAAGCTGCTCATTCTCTCCACTTGACCATGATTAGTTATATTATCTTATCTGATACCACATTGTGTGTCACAGGGGTAAACATGGAAAGCAATCAGGGTTTAGAAAGAGGGCCCAGATCGAAAAGTTACCGACAATCTCCAACTAGAATTAAATGCATCTTTATTCCTCTACAGCAGCAGTTCTCAACTTTTTGATTAACAGGTACTATATAAACAAAAATTGAAAACTACCACCATTATATTTTATGAAGATTATTTTTCAATTTCTGAATGGAAATATTAAAATTTTTAAAAAAATTCTGAAAGCTTTCAGATTTTATATTATGACCAAAGGGAGTGTTTATTAACGTTTTGTGTGTTACCTTTATTTATTAAATATCACATTCTTTGCACTTAAATCATAAAATTCAGTTCAACAGCAATATCACAAAATATTTAAAACAGCATATCTTTAGACGGTCTCGCACGCTGGAGATAATGAATGCTTTCAGATTTTATATTATGACCAAAAGAGCATTTTTTCTTAACGTTTGGTGTGTTACCTTTACTTATTAAATATCATGTTCTTCGGACTTAAAACACATAAAATTCAATTAAACAGTAATATCATAAAATATTTAAAAGCAGCCTACCTTTAGAATTTCCGATACACAGTCTCGCGCACAGGAGATCAAAATGGTTTTGCATACAGCGTTGTCATTGCTCGTTTTGAAAACATTGAGTTTGTTTCTCAAAAATTCGTTGAAGTTTACAAAATTTGAATTAGATAATAAAACAAATTCAAAATTCGGGCTTTTAAGTGGCCGTGTTCGATTGGCCAAAATTCATTTCAAAATTTATTCAAAATTTGATGGCTCTAGGTTTTGTTGTTTCTTCACAATGGGAGAAACATTCATGCAGATACTTCATTATTTAGTTTCTTTAAATATAATACATGGTGATAATATTTGGTGGCAACAGTTTGAACAGTGAATCGATGCAAAATGCCATTTTGAAATTAATAGCTCCTCTGGGGTAACACCCTTTGTGCTAAAAAATATTTTGCCATTCGCACAACCTATTGGCTCTTTGTCACACATAAAAATATTAGATTAAAAATTGGTTAGCATTTTAATTATCAAAATTTAAATTATAATATTTTAATTCTAAAACTTAGTGTGAAATTTGGGCCTGTGTAAATCAATTTCTTCTACCTTTAATAATTTCTTTATGACTGGTCTTATTTCACTTAGTTTTAAGTGTAAATTAGAATCCACATTTAATTTTGTTCTGTATTTATTTTTTAAATATAATATGGGAAAAAAATCCTTGTTCACACTTATAGGTTGTGCAAAAAGGCAATAAAAATTTAATAGCTTTTATTTGAAATGCTTTTATTTTTTTTGGGGGGGGTATGATATTTTTGATATCTTCAGTTAAGAGTTGGATCACAGATAATTTCTATCTATTGTTCTTTATCTTCTGAATATCAGGTATACAGTCAAAAAAGTCTTTAATCCAGAATAATCTATAATTCGGACCTCAAAGCTACAAACTTTCTGCACATGCGTCAATGCATGCACATAATATGTTTATGCATGCACATTTAATGTATAATGGACGGTATAAACTAAGCTAAAATTATCTAATTATCTATTTCAGTTAATGTTGCCGATTGTGTTGTTCCTTAATCTTCGAATTGGATCCAGCTTATTGTTTTTTGCAGACTGTTAGAGCAATTTTATAAAAGTAAGCTTGAACTTTCGATTATGTCAAAAAGAATTTCCAATTCTGGAGCTGCCAAAGGATCTACAAAGCAAAAGCATGTTTCGATGTCCATTAAACAAAAAGAGGAATTGCTGCAAAAAATGGATAAAGGCATATCCTTTGTTTCTCTAACCATTCCAAAATCTGTTTATCAATTTGCCGCTGCTGTGCGGCGGCGGCCAAGGGGGGGGGCAATGAAGTGGAAGTTGATCTGTCAGCACTATTCTTATCTTCAGGGCAGATGCTTATAATTCCTTACTAAATGTAGTATTTCATCTCGATGTACTCCGTCTTTGATATGATTTAAATAAAATTCCTCGTCATTATAAATATCACGAATACACATCAAATAGTTGCAATTTTCTAATTTCGATTTTGCATAATGTATGCTTTCCGCATGCGCGCGTTGAATGAAATGTTTAATGAATGAAGTAAACAAAGTTTTTTTTTTTTGTGTGTGTGTGTGCGTGTGTGTGTGTAAATTTTGATACCTTTTAGATTATAGTTGCTCTTTATTTCATAAATTACGGTTTCATAGTTTTAATTTTATAATTTCTGCATGCCATCTTACCAGATTTAAACTGATGATCTATAATCCGGAAAAACCGATAATCCGGAATCGCCGAGACTTTCGACTTTATTTAAACAAAATGGGTTTCTAAGCCAATTTTCTTTTTATAATCCTTGGGAAAATACATGTTGAAATTATTTATCAATGAAAAACAATTATTTTTAATGTTGGATGCTAATTCTTCTAATTTCAAATTATTTTCAGTTTTAAAAAAATTTTAAAGTGGTAAAAAGCTTAAAATATTATTATCCAATTCTTTGATTATTAGCTCGACGGTTTTTTTTTTTTAATTATTATTACTATTGTCTTTATTTCATCTCTAATGGTAAACAAATTAACATTTTGTCCTTTTAATCCTAAATTTAATTCATTTAACTTTCCAAAAATATCAGCTAAATATCCTAAACACGCCAACCATAATTCACTAAATAAAATTTTTGCAATTCAAATTTTGAATTACAGAGGAAAATTTGAATTTCTGATTAAGTTTAAAAAAACTGATTTAAAACTTTGCCTCTGGGTAACCACCTTACTTCAAAATGTAACAAAAGTGTTTCATGTTCACTTTCCATCTCTTGGCATAAAATCGTAATATTCTTGAATTTAAAGCTCAGCTTTTAATAAAATTAACAATTTTCACAGCTTGATTTAAAACGATTTTCAGGTTTTTAAGGATTGTTTCGGCTACTAAAGATTCACAATGTATGGAGCAGTGAGTAAATTTAGTTTCAGTTGAGACTTCCTTTATTTGAGAAATTACTCTGGAATGTTTTGCTATTAAAGCCCGAGTTCCGCCACTGCATATAGCAATGCATTTATTCTAATGAATATCATTCTGAGACATAAAATTGTCAATTACTTTGAAAATTTCACTTGCAGTTGCTTTATGATGAAAAGATTCACAAAATAAATACTCTTCAGCAATTTGTTTATAGTCTTCAAAACATATGTAAACTAATAATGGAACAAAGTTCCGTTTTTTGTTGAATTATGTTAAAACGATATCTTTGGCTGCTTGTAATAAAAGATTTTCTCCAATAGTGTGAGCCTGCCCAGTCTTAGCAATTCTTAGGCTTACCAGGTAACTAGCTTCCAAAGCTTTTTCACTTGAAGTAACAAAACCTTTTATCACTTGTCTACCGTTTTTTGAATTCTGATAATTTCCTATTAAAATTTTCTTCGGAATTATGTTTTAAATTGACATGCTTAGATTTAAGATGTCTTTTAAGAAATGATGGTTTCATACTTTGATTGGATAATAGTCCACCGCAAATGACACATTGAGGTTCAGGGTGCATTTCATCTCCATTCCAAATAAATGCAAATGATAAATAACTTTCATTATATTTTCTAGAAACATTTTTTTCTTTTCAATATTCTTAGTGCTAGTAGATTGTCCTGGATCCATCACCTATGAATGATCACTTTTTCACTTTGTCAATCGTAGCCATTTTTCCATTTTTTAAATCTAGGTTTGTTTTATCATTTTTTCACAAATATTTAAATGCACAATATATTACGAGTTCTTCAAAAACAGACGGCAATATTCTCAAATTGCATAGAAAAACAAAGCAACAAGGAATACAAAGCAACAAGAAGATAAAATACCTGCTGTTAGAGACAGCAAACCGACATAAAAAAATTATTCCCATTGAAAATGGAGCAATACGAGCCAGGAAATGGCGACATCAATTGCCCACATTCTAATAAATCAATAAACTGTAAGAGGATTAATGAGATACTATTGCCTTTTTTATAAGAACTTACTTTTATTTCTTATTAAATAGAGCATCCATTTCTATCACTCTTTCTAAAAATATCATTTATGGCAAATTTTGTTATGTCTACAGCTAAAAGAATATTTGTGAAATGTACAACATTGCAGAACCACAAAAACTGTCATCACTGTCCTTTTGCTAAAGTCTATAAGTGGCTATTGACCTTGGGCTAAGCTCAGATCAAATAAATTTACGAGTGTTAGAGAGAAAAAAAACTCAATCAGAATAATGGGGTTTTAATTTTTGAATAGTTAAAAATACTTTGCTTCTTTGTGTACCACCTATTTTTCTCTTTTGCACCACCAATTAAGTATCCCTGCTCTAGAGCATCAATACAATCATGGCTTTCGCTTCATTCCAGATGAAGAGGACTTGTTTGACCTCTAAATCAATAGAGTCTTGACTAAAACCCACATAAAACGCAAGTTTGTTACTTATGCTAATTTTATATACATGCATGGAAATTCTATTTATTATTTCATTATTATTATTTACGATTTGGTTAGCAAGTTATGAAAAATATGTAAACATACCAGAAAATTAATCATTTACTGATTCTTTCTGGTGACCACAGTTCAGCAATTGCTGCTAATAATGCCTGAAACATCAACTATAGTTTCTTTTTTCTGTTGATGGAAGAATAAAAATAATAAGCATAATGAATATTTTTCAATGAAAAACCGTTAGACTGGCATGATACAAATATGAAAAAGCAGTTAAGATTGTTAACCACTTGTTTCTCACACAACCAGAGAAAGGTTTCTTGCGAATACTGAAACACGCCTAATCTACTTTCTTGGCAAGGCTAGAAGACAGGTATACAAAAATATTTGTGAGCCATTGGAAGTTTACATACCTTGTAATTAGGATTATCAATAAGTGGTGGCCTCCATTTTCCTTTATATTTAGGATTATCAATCATTGGTGGTTTCCATTTTCCACATCCAACCTTTTCACACTTAGGATTAGCTAAAATATAAAAAATTTAAATGAGTGGAACTGAAGAGGAATAATATCCACAATGTTTACTTCATCTGATTAAAACAAAAAGTAATGCTCTTTCTTTCTCTCTCTCTCTACATATATATAAAGTGAGAGAGTGGTCATTAATAAAACTCCGATATGAATCCCTATGCAGCTGCTTATCCACTCAATTGATCGAAATGAAAGTTCTCATATTGTTATTTGATGTTATGTGCTCAAGACAACCATGATTTAAACTATATAGCTTACGGTTATTGTTACAAGGAAAAAATTCTGAAACTTCCAAATGGCAACACCCACTTTTTAATGGCAAAAATTACCAGCGCACTGAAAAACCATAAACGGCACTGGAACAGCATATGTATGAAAGCACAAGAGAAGACAGGCAAAATTACTTTTACAAAAATTACAAGTTTTCAATGTGGGCACCTTTGCAAACAATAATGCACTGCACACAGGAGTTTATTGTTAACAATGATGAATGTAGCATCACAGGAGGAATCTGTATAACTTCACATTTTAGGGGAAAAAAAAACATTAATTGACTAGCATGTAAATGAAGGTTTACTTAGTAGCCATCACATTATAAGTTTCCTGTTCGTACAAAGGAAAATGTGCATGGTCGAATGTCGGGCCGACACTACGGAGAATATTTTTTACTCTTATTTTTGTTAATTTATGTGTAACTATGCCAGTATACAGACAGATTCTAGTTCATCATTTAACACACTTTCTTATTGACAAAATTAGATTAGTATCCTCAGACCCTTTATTACTGTCTCTGAGAACAGCGAAGTGTTAGATTAAGAAACTCTTTGATATTATCGATGGTATCGAGAGTTTCATTATTCGGCATTACCCATACATATTTTTTTACAGCTCTTTTCAAAGAAATGGTATTATCTTCTGCAGTTTTCTTCCTTCTTTTAAAAACTGCAACAGTTTTTCCACATCAATTTAACTCCATGTTAAAGAAGAAATTAAGAGACGAACAATATAGCATGTTTATTTATAACATATTGAAAAATGCACCTTAGTCTCATCTAATTTATACACAGTACTCCCATAAGAAATAAACTACTAGCACAACTCCTGTCTATGCTTGCCACATACTCTCTACTTCAACTATGACTTATGTTTGAACTATAATCCTTATAAACCTGAATAATGATTTGCATAGTTAGCCTACATTTCCTATAAGAATTCTAACTCATGATTTCCATGTTGTGCCAATAATCCATACATGCAAGACTTGCGAGTCTGCATCTGGCCCTGATTCCATATCTGAACACTCATTCATTACTATACAGCATGGGCTTAAGTAAAGATGTGATGCCAACATTATTTTCTCTTGGTTTTAAAAATTTAACCAGGGTTTGTACACATTTCTGCACACGGAAATTAAATACTTTTAAGGACCATTAATGAAAAAAATTAAAGACCTATGAGCAAATGGGAACTGAATAAATTCAATTAAAAGTATTATATCTATGCCTGAACTTCACTTTTTAATACCATCCTAAAAATAAATGAGATTTATAAGTAGGATGCATTATTATTAAACATAGCTAGCTTAATTAACATAATTATTAATACATTTGAGAATAAAATAAATATTACATTTATCAAGTATCATTAAATTATTTACACTTTTGATAACTGGACATATTCGAAAGAAGATAAATGACATTTTAGTTATGTTTTACTAACAGTTAGCTTTTTTATTTTTAATGTCTCATATTTTCACATACTTGCTCAGTCTAGAGGTTTAGTAAATAATAAGTAGATTTTATGTCAAGCAGCATAGGTTAAAATGAACATTAAAATCATAGTCAGCATGATTCATAATAAAAGACTGGCTGCTGTCACCACTCCTGCTTGTCTAGAGAGAGACCTGCCGATCAGAACAAACCTGAAAGGCCTGACGTAGGCACAGTTAGTAAGTTTTGAAAGTTAGCTGAGCTCTGTCTGACGCAATTAGTGTCGTAGCTTCATGTACTGTTCTAGGGGATGTAACTCAGTTAATATACTTTAAGATTCTATTAAGCCACTAAAGCACTAGACGTGATAAGTTGTTTTTCATTATTTTAAGTTTCACTAGATACGAAGAATAAGTTTTACATTATTTTTTATATTTTTTTGTTTTACCTTGTGACCACTGTAAAGATTAATGAAAGGCAATAATTCACTTTAATATGCAAAGATAATTTTTAAGGGTAAGCAGTTATAAGTAATTAAATTAGGTATTAGATAACCTTAGTCACATGGATTTACATGGACACTATCAAATTATATTTATTTTTTAAATAATATTTGTTAAAAAAACTCTATTAATATAACAATCTAATAAAATTTCACAGTTTAAAATACATGCAATTTATGACATTGATTTTTAAACAATTTTAGGATAATTACACATTAAACATTTATCTTTTGTAGCAACAAAACTCAACAAAATAATTATATGGCAGTCTTTTAATTTGAAGCCCTGCCCAGACATTTTGGCTAATTTATATTGATCTCCTTCTCTTTAAGCATTTTTTCTAACAATTAGAAATTTGTCTCAATACGCAAAACAATGTTCTCATTAGTTCATTCTGCCTGTTTTATCTCCTAACTGTCAACCTCTCCACAATGTACTACCTATGAGGGTTTACTTGATCTGGTAAAAGTTAAATAGTCCCCCCCCCTTGACAGACATGAAACAAATTATGGCTATGTCTGAAAGTAACTATAAATCAGAGGTATAAATAAGCTTCTTATTTAAAAAGAACTTAGAACATAAAGGCATGTTCTTATGCTAACAAAATCAATTACAGCTCATGGTGATGTAATTAAACAAGAAGAGTCAAATTCAAAATAAAAATATGGACTAGTGGTCAAAGAGAAGTGGTCAATTTAATTTCAATTTAATCTTGTTCAATAACTCTATCATCATAATTAACTCAAATGTCAGCAGCAGTAATGGAAATTATCAGAGCTGACAGGAACTAATACAGGGAGTAAGCATAGGTCATGCTAACAAAATCAATTACAGCTTGTGGTGATGTAATTAAACAAGAAGAGTCAAATTGAAACTAAAAATATGGACTAGTGGTCAAAGACAAGTGGTCAATTTAATCTGGTTCAATAACCCTATCGTCATAATCAACTCAAATGTCAGCAGCAGTAATGGAAATTATGAGAGCTGATAGGAACTAATACAGGGAGCAAGCGGAGGTCAGAAACACACTCTTGTCTTACACTCCAAAAACCCCAGCTTAAAAACTGTCTCAGTGATTTGCATTCTGGTGAAATAGAAATGGGAAATTATAGTAAAGGCTGAAATTGTTAACAAATGGATAATTTACATAATAATTAACTACATATCTCTGAAGAATAATTTTCTTTCTCCTTACACATTTAGTTCGTTTCTTCAACAAGTTTCCTTTTCACTTTAGAATTTTTGGATTTAATTAAAAATTTCTGTTATTCTAAAAGACAAAATGCAGTTAGAACGTATGGTAAAAGCTGCTAATTTTATTTCTTTGGTAATACGAACATTCAGAAGAAATATGAAATACATATGGTAATGTCCGGTCACAAAGTTGATGTGGCATAATTTTTAGAATTTAGTGACACACCGAGCAACAAAATCTAGAAATGGTAAAACTTTTAGAATTTAGAGCAAACATTGGAAGCAGAATTTAGAAAGGCCACTAGGCAACAAAATTTAGTATTCGCAGAGATTGCATTAGCTGGGAAAATGCCTAGTGCCAGCCCTGTGTATGACACATTAAAACATATTAGACGAATCTTTTGAATTGTCAGTTTTCAATTTCTTTATTAATAAAAAAATTTCTTTCTGCAATGCCTGTCCATATGATAAGATTAGAAGCATTTTTGATATTTTCCATGCTTGTGTATAGTGAAAATTAGAAAAAGAGGAAACTGATGCATATTCTGAGAATTCTAAGAAATGGGGAAAAACTCTTATCATGAAAAAATTAAAAAGATAATTCTAATTAATTACATAGCTATTTTGTTTTTGTTAAAAACAGTTTCGTAAATTGTGCTTCATAGCATTATACCTTGCTTATTTTTCAGATTCAAAACATTGTATAGTATGTGGCCAAAACAGAACTTTATTAATATGACAGTGAAAAATAAAAATGCTTTATTTTAATGTTATTTCTTAAATACAATTTCAATACATTACCATTATTTTAATGAAATTTATCAGTGTTAGAATGTTCTAAAAATGTCACCAAAAATTTCCCAGATTTTGGAATGAAAAATTTTCTATAAAAACCGATCTTAAAATCACCAAAATGTTGATAAGTCGCCAAATTTAGAACCATTTAATAAAAGAATTCACATCCCCAAAAGCGGAAAGTTGTTTGAAAGCTCTTCATTACAAAAAAATGAAACAATTTCAAAATACTTATGTTTCACTTCTCACAATCACCAAAATGTTGATAAGTCGCCAAATTTAGATCCATTTAATAAAAGAATTCACATCCCCAAAAGCGGAAAGTTGTTTGAAAGCTCTTCATTACAAAAAATGAAATAATTTCGAAATGCTTATGTTTCACTTCTCACAAACTCAAGTATCCCACCAGTTATATTACAAATAGGAACAAATTATAACCCACGAACCCACTCAAAAAATAACCATATTTGTCAGTGAATTGCCAAAAATATTACTGCAAAACGCTAATTCACACTCAAAATGGCAGTCGTAAAAACAGACAGAAATTTTAGATTATTAAAATTAAGGAAATTCTGCGGATTTTGGCCGAAATTAAGGACTTTTAAGGACCAAAAATCGATTCCAAAGAACTTAAGAACTTTTACGGACTCTTAAGGACCGTACGAACCCTGTTAACCTATTCAGATTCTGTTAAAAATAGATATAAAAATTTTCAAACGGCGTGTCAGAAAATAAAACAAACTCAGTTATATGGCAGTTATTCCAGATAACAAATTTCATGATTTGACTCAATTGTGTTCCCTTACTAAGTGAATTAACGAATTGAACATAAATTTTGATTTGTACATTATATTTTTGGAAAAGAAAAAAATTACTTATTAAAGGTGGTTCCCATTCACCATCCATTTCATCATCCCTAAAAATATATAAAAAGTAATTGTTATTATGCTAACAAGAATTTTCAAACCTCATAATTTCTTATTCTTGAAACACAATATTTAAAACAAAAATAGTAGTTAATAAAATGTACCAATCCACAGGCTTTTCAGCATTAGGATCAGGAATTAATTCAGGTTCATCATCTAGCCAACCATTGGGTTTTCTTGCATTGGGATCAACAATTTGTCTAGGAGCATCTTCATCCCTGCATAAAAAATTTCATAAAGAGTTTTTGATAACACAATTTAAAACCAAAAGTTAAAACATTTGCATACTTATAAATATTATACAAAAAGTAAAAGTTAAAAATTCAAATATATTTAAACATAATTGATACGGTTTTAAGGGACCAATTATTACAAAAAATTCTTTTCATTTTATATTTATTATGCAACTCCGTAAAAATTTTTTTTAAATACTTCCCCTTCAGAATTTATAATTCATAAATCATATTCTTAATATGTTTTTAAAAAAATAAAAACACATTTATTTAATAAAAGTTAATAGTTACAATATCAGTTTAATTTTTATATTTTGTAAAATCTTATTTATTAATTTAAAAAATTTCAAAATTATTTAAAATTAAAAAAATGTCTTCCAAGTATTATTGATGGCCTTCATTTAAGTTTCCTCTTCTAAATTATTTCCACTTCACTTGCGATTTCAAGTAATGTGGTAACAAACCGTATTACATTATCGACATTATTACAGTATCCTTTTAAATATAATTTTTAAACATTATCAGTGACATATATACAGTGGTGGCCAAAATTGTGGACACTTTTGGAAATTTTTATGTTTTTGAACTTTGTATGCTTACAGAAAATGTTATGTTTCGTAAAATGCAAACTTGTATATATCATTTTAAAGAGAATTTATTACAAAACACAAAATTCAATTATTTGCAATACAAAAAAAGTTATATGTACTTTAATATAAATAAAAAAACACAGTTATGAAGTGGTTTGCAATGTCTAGCTTTCCCTGGCCAATCACTGTTCTTGTTCTGAAAACCAATCAAATGTTAGTAACTGCCAGTAGAAAGCTGACATCATGTTTACACTTGAAACAATTCATTATTTTGCTTTGTTCTGTAGAAGGAGGACCTGGTTTCTTATACACTGCAATTACAAGTACGAATTTTTGTAAAAATTTTTATATTTAGTCAAGAAGCAATGACATCAAATAAAAGAGTAGATTGGACCCTAGAAAGAGATGTAATATTATTGTGTTACGAGAAAGTGGTCTTTCCTATGCTGAAATTGCAAGACAGGTGGGTGGTTCAGTGACTACATCTGAAGTCCGAAAGTTTCGTTTACGATATCAGGAGACAAATTCAATAAAGGCCGAAAAAGGTGCACCACATCTATTGACAGAAGAATAAAAGGACTATGTCTCCAAGATATAAAAATGTCATCAGCGGCCGTCAGAAGTGATCTCAATGATGCTGGTGTTTCTGTCAGTTCAAGAACAGGAGAATCAGGAGAAGATTAACAGATGTTGTACTGAGAGGTAGAATTCCACGAAAAAAGCCTTATCTTAATTTTCAGCAACGAAAAAAAGACTACAGTGGGCAAAGGAACATATTAATTGGACAGATGATCAGTGGTCACAAGTTATATGGAGTCATGAAACTAAGATATCATTATTCGGTAGTGATGGGTGAAAATATGTAAGACGTAGAATAGAAGAAGAGCTACATCCTGACTGCATTCAAGCAACTGCGAAGAATCCAGTTAGTGTTATGATTTGGTCATGCATGTCAGCAGATGGTATTGGTCGCCTTCATGTCAATCGATGGGACACTGAATGCCAGAAAATACAATGACACTATTCTAGAACCAAAACTTCTACCTTCCATCAGAGATCTCTTTCCCAACAATGCTTCGTTTACTTTTCAGCAGGATTCTGCTCCTTGCCACACGGCCAAAATATCAAAAAAGTGGTTTCGTACAAAGAGCATTAAATTGTTGTCATGGCCAGGAAACAGTCCTGACCTCAATCCTATCGAAAATTTGTGGCACTGTTTGAAAACTCTTGTCTGAATGAGGTGCCCATCAAATAAAAGGGAACTAATTGAGGCTATAATTGCTTCCTGGCATCATGTAATAACGAAAGAAGAGCTTAAAACTCTTGTCAGCTCAATGAAACGTCGATGTGAAGCTGTAATCAAAAATAAAGGGTACCCTACTAAGTACTGATAACTCACTGCAATCATCACTATCTAATGTATATCGACAACTATTATCATTTAATTTTTTTGTATTGCAAAAATTGAATTTTGTGTTTTGTATTGAATTCAGTAATAAATTCTCTTTAAAATGATATATACAAGTTTTGCATTTTGTGAAACGTAACGTTTTCTATAACATACAAGTTCAAAACATAAAATTTCCAAAGTGTCCACATTTTCGCCACCACTGTATATATATGATTCAGAATCTCAAAATGAAAAAGAAATTTATATATTTGAAGGACAAACCTATTTATCACCGTGAAACAAGTTAAATTAGTAAAACACTAATTAAAGAAAAATACCAAATTTAAAACCAAAATTACATTTCCAAGAGGAAAACAATAAAAAATTATAATTTAGTATAGACTGAAACCAAAACAAAAATTCTATTAATCTCCTTTGTTTAATGTTTCAAACAGAACTTGTCAACATATATTTATTAACATTAATATATTAATTCTTATTAAAAGAAAATATAATAATTCAACTGCAGTCCATTAGTTAACAATCATCTGTTGTCAAGGCAGCTCATTATACAATCAAAAGTCGTTAATTCGGACACCATAATCTGGAATGATCTATAATCTGGACCTCAAAGCTAAAAACTTTCTGCGCATATGTCGCTTTGACACATGCGCATAGGCGTTTGTTTATGCGTGCACGTAAGACCTTTACGACTGTGCATATGCATGTGCGCAAGCACAGAATACGTTTTCGCGTGTGCATTTAATGTATAATGGACAGTATAAGCTAAAGTTATCTAATTATCTATTTCAGTTAATGTGATGATTGCGTTGTTCCTTAATCTTCGAATTGGATGCGGCTTATTATTTTTTGCAGACTGTAAGAGCAATTTATAAAAGTAACTTGAACTTTCGATTATGTCAAATAGAATTTCCGATGCTGGAGCTCCCAAAGGATCTACAAAACGAAAGTATGTTTTGATGTCCATTACACAAAAAGTGGAATTGCTGCAAAAAATGGATAAAGACATGAAGAAGGTGACAGAGAGGTTAGTGAAAATGAAAATATTTCGATTGACAAGTCAGTCGGTATTCTCGGCACAGCAATTACGGGACTTGAACAACGGAACTTTGTAACTGAACAAGAAATTATGTCTGTTTATAGAATTAAAGAGAAAGTATTATCATATAAAACGAAGCAACTTAAACAACTTACATTGGTGTGGTGTATTTAATTATGGCAAAGCACACTAGGGCTACCTGCCTAAGGAGAGGGATGCCTTTCGTGGAGGACTTTCTAAGGGAAACTGGCTCGTATACACGTTACACATGGGGAAAACCACGAAAACACCCATGCAGCCAGCCTGTTCGCGGGATTCGAACCTCAGACCGAACTACCAGTGTTCAGCGACTTTACCGCTCGGCCGCTGGTGGGCCAACTTACATTGAAAGAAATGTTTAATAAAATAAACAAATAAATATTAAGCTTTTTTTTTTTTTTTTTTTTTTTTTGGTAAATTTTGATACCCTTTAGATCTAATTGTTCTTTCTTTCATAAATTATGGTTTCATATTTTTAATTTTAGAATTTCTGCATGCCATCTTACAAGATTTAAACTGATGATCTATAAATCGGAAAAATCGATAATCCAGAATCACCGAAGTCCCGACGAGTCTGGATTAACGACTTTTGACTATACAATATCAAATGGATACAATTATCAGATGCGTAACACCATTCCTTTTATGACAATGAATTCACAAAATAAAATCTTTTCATCAAGATGACTGTTTTACAGTCCTGCCACTCCTTACTACATAAAAACTACTCCTTACTTCCATTTTTTGATTGCTTGAAACTTGAGCCCATTGCTGTATGGAAACCTTCTCTTTGACAGCCTGGATTCAATAACTCTCTATCATAATATTTAGAGTAATCTAAATCTTATGTTTTTTCAGATGAAATGAATGTTTCCTTACTACATTTCCTTTCTTTGTTTTTATATGCAGTATGATGTTGGAATCATATTTGTTAACAATCTGGACTAGCTCCCAACGATTATTAACTCTCAAAAACATATTTTCTCTTTTATAAAAATCTGATCATTTCTTGGCTTGTCTACTACAGTAAAATTAACTATATCCTAATTACTTACTACATTTTACTTAAAATCTTTTAGTATTTGGTTTTAAGACTGTTACAGTAGCCAGCAATGTTTTACAAAGACAATGACTTATGAAGATTTTTTCAATAACTGATGCATCCTAGTGTTCTAGTAGAGCTTCATTTATTTCAACTTAATCCTTGTTCCTACTTTCCTGTTTTACAGAGAATATTTTTATATATTCTAACCATTTGCGCTGCAAATCTTTTTATTTGTAATATTTAAAATGGCTGTTTAAAATTTCAATTCATAGACTTTTGAAAACTGTTCATTTTTATACAGATACCATAAACAACTACTTTGGGTACACCATGAGGTGAAAGAAAACTGGTTCTTGTTTTGATATTTCCTAAGAAGTTTCCTTCAATAGTTTCATTATATCTAGTCAGTTTGATAGGCAATAATTAAAAGATAATTTTTATTCCCATATTCACAAAGATCCATCCTAATTTCGTAAGGTAAATTTGAAGTACCATGATTTATTAAAGGCTCTTTGACATATTTGGACCTAAACTTCTTGTAATATTATATTGCACAATTTTATTTTCAATATCTTTATTCATCCTCCAGCCAAAATAACACTTGTATTGCTCAGATTTTATTTATTTATTTATTTATTTTTCGATTTTAAAGTGAGCTTTATGGAGCAGCTTCAGTACTTCTGTTCTTAAATTCATTAGTATTATTATTCTACCATTTAAAAACACTAGACTTCCCTAAACATGTATGTCATTTTGAAATTTAAAATATAGACTTTGAACGGGTCCATTTTTCTAAATTAAAGATTTTCATCCACCACACCAAAATGTGATAATGCATCATTTAGTGTAGCTTCTTCAAAA